ATCTAAGAGAGCAGCCCAAGGCTTCTGGGAGCCAAATTCTCCGGGGCCTTTGAAAGCAGACAGTTCTCGTCTTCGCATCACATTTTCATCCGGCCGGTGCAAGAAACCACCCGGGAGCACAGCCCCCGACTCAGCTCGCCTGTGGTCTTTGCTGAGGGTCAGCTCGTTACGGGGTTGTGTTTTCCATTTCTCCTTTGGACACTTCTGTTCCTTTGCTGCTTTGAGGTCTGTTTTCCAGCTCACGGGTGGTCAGATCCTGGGGCTATAAATGAGGCAGGATTTTCCGTAATCGCCAGCCCTCCTGAGCCAGTTTGGAGTTTGGGGTTTGCATTTGAGTCACTGCTGGGGAGCTGGCACTTTGCAAACTCAGAAAATAAACAAACATGCCCGCTTCTCAGGCACCGATCGCAGCAAACGTTCTGACTCCGAATATTGGCTGTATACGGTTTTGCCTGAAAACAACCGTCTTAAGGAATCAACGTCTGAGCTTGATGTATCCGAAGACGTGACTGGCGAGAACTGAACCGTAACCCCCTCGTCTTGAGTTCGGGGGACTTGGTTGAAAGTATCCGGTGGCCTTGGAGTTTCATAGCACAGACGACTGGCCTGGACATGGGGGCCCCTTGCTGCGTTGCCGACCTAGATTTGAGCAAACCCCTTCCCACACGGGCCTCCGAAGGCCGGAATGGGAACCAGCGTGGCCCCTGATCTTCAGGCCTCACAGTCTGCAGGGGGCGGGCAGGGAGCGAGCCAACTGCAAGGAAGGTGCCCGGCGAGGCCGCTGTCCGGAGGGAGCCCAGCGAGGTCGGGGGGAGAGGAGGGAGCCCAGCGAGGTCGGGAGGAGAGGAGGGAGCCCACTGAGGTCATCGTATCAGCTGCAGGCCCTGCGACAAGTGTCCTGTCTGCACCTTTGCAACGGTCCAGGGGCCCTGGCATTGTCGTGCGGGCCCTCCTTCACCGCGGAGAGCACGCGGGGCGGGAGGCTTGTCCGGGTTTACCCGCCAGCGAGGAGGAGGGCTGGGATCCAAACCCAAGGCTGGGGAGCCCGCTCCGCTCTGCAAGGAGGAAACAAAGGCCAAGCGGTTAGTTGTCTGCCCGTATCTTTTCTCCCACTCCCCTTGAGAAGGCCAGCGCTTGGCCGGGCACGTGGACGCTGAGAGTAAAGACACCGTTACCCAGCCCCCTCGCAGTCGCGCCTGTCACAGGGCATCAATGGAACCAATGGGCACGCCCGTCAAAGGGAGGGTCCCCCCCCACCCCTCTTGCCTTCTTTCTTCAACGTGGAACATGGAAGCGGCCGAGTCCCCTCTTAGACCATGTGATCAGGGGCAACGCCTTAGAACCGGCCGAGCCACGGCTAGAAGGAGCCCGCGCCCCCGCGTGGCCTGAGGGAGTGGAAACCGCCCTGCTGTGGGACAGAAATAAACGTCTAACTGGTTTAAGCTCAATAAAATAAGTGGATTTAGTGTCCTAATAACACAGTTATACAAGTTTGTGTTTTTTTTTAATTATTTCCTTTAGGCGAGTCGGAGCTGTAAGGACTTAGGGCTTCACATATATCTTGGAGGCACCCAGGAGGGGAGCTTCGGGCTCTGTGTGGTTGGCACTGAGCCAGGCCAGAGGCAGGTCCCCGGGAAGACAGCCTCGTTCGAGGTAGAAAACCACGTTGCCAACCCAGTGAAGTTTCGTGGCTGCACCACGCTGAGCCTAGGGAACGAAGAACAGACAGAGGCTCCCGCCCGCCGGACAAGAGAGGGCGCAACGCAGCCATCCTGCCGCCCCGTCCAGGCCAGCCGGTCACCCTCACTCCCATTCTTATCAACATGGTCACTATTATCGGGACTGACCGCTGGCACTTAATGAGACTGGACTTTGCGTATCCTGTGCCGCGTTATCTGTTCAGTATAACTGGCTGTTTCAATGCCCATCTTACGGTTGGCGAAACGGAGGCCCGGAGAGATCAAGTCGCTTTTCTCCAGGTCACAGAGTGAGAAGCGCAACTAGGATCCCAAAGTGTCCTGAGGCCGGAGCCCTGCCTCTCTTTATAGGGATGGAACCTGGGGGGGCTCTGAGCAGAAGGATTCCCCTGCTCGGGAAAAAGGCAGCCGCCCAGGCCTGTGGTCACCGGAGCCCTCCTAGAGCAGCCCTTCATTCCCAACTCCCTGGCTCCTGGACGTCGTTCAGGAAGATAACGTATTTCTCACGTTTGAAATCACCGGGTGTGTCCAAAATGGTCTCTCTCACGCTCAAAGCCAGGCAACTCAAACCAACGTCTCCAACCTCCCGGGCCCCAGACGTCAGGGGGCCAAACCCAAGCCGCTGGGCTTGGTCCCAGGTTTTGCTCCTTCTCTTCCAACCCTGGCCCTTTCCAATGAAGACCAAGCCCCGGATGCCGTTTTGGAGACGAGCCTACACAGAATCCGACGCCGCTCCGGTTCTCCCCAGCCCTTGACCCTCCATGGGCCCCGCCTTGGCTTCCTCCAAGTAGCCCGAGCTCCCAAAACAAAGACATTGCACCAGCCACACCCCCGCTCCCCACTGTTCATCTTGCATCTTGGCCGGCTCTCAGCCTATAATTCTTTCCAAACTCGCCTGTATAAAATAATCATGTACATGAAGTAAAACAGGAGTCTCATATACACACTTAATAACTCTTGCGGACTGTACAAGGGGGAATTCCACTTTATAACCCCCAGAGCTTTGGAATGGTTCTCATTTAGCTCCGCATTCCTCGTGCGAGATCTGAAACTTCCCTCTCCCAGCCCCTGCCCGTTGCTGCTTTTCCAAACTGTTGTGTCTCCAGGTCCCTCGGAACCATTCCATCGCCATCTCGGCTGCTACCCGGGGATCCCGGGGCTCCTCCCTCTTCAGCCCTAGGGCTAGCTGTTGGGATTTCACTTAAAGGCTCGTGTTTTGGGGAACTGAGCGTAGGGTGGTAGAGAAGCTTCACGGGTGAGCGTGTCCACGGAGATGGATGGATCAGCTACTCCTTCCAGCCGCCGGCTCGATGGTCGGGTGGGAAGGTGGGCTCCCACCTCCGCTCTTCTGCAAGTGTGACATCGACCATGCCGTGGGGCTTTCTCCAGGCTCTTTCCTCAAAGAGAGTCCTTCTGTGGTCGGTGGCGATCCCTCTGCNCTGTGGTCGGTGGCAATCCCTCTGTGTTTCCAGACGGTTCATCAGGCAATGCTTATGATGCGAGTCTTAGGTGGTGACTTAAAATGGTCAATATCAAGTCAATGTGAACTCGTCCAGTCATTGCTTACGCTGACCCCGCCGATACGGTCAGACTCACCAAAATGGCAAAGAGAACATCTAGTTTTTTTTAAAAAAATTAGCTTTAGTTTATAAAATCGCTGCATAAACAACGGCTCCATAGATTGTGGAAGGCGAGAGCCAAGGCTTGGATTCTGAGCGTCTTGAGCGACATCATTGAGTCTCATACAGCAGCTAACACAGCTCATGGGGCCCAGTGAGCGCTCAGCGGAGGCTAATTGGATGAACTGCGGGAGGCAACGTGGTCCAACAGAAAGAGCTTTGGGATAGAAAGAAAAAAAACAAAAAGAAAAACAAAAAATTCGGGTCCTTCTTCAGGTTTTGTAACGAATCCGCTTTGTGACCTTGAGCAAGCCATCCCTCCCCCCCCGCACCTTTGTCGTCCCATCTGTAAAATGGGAGGATTCAAAGAAACGATTTCTAATCTGATCCTTTCCTCTGAGTCCACATGCCATGCAGTGGGAGCCGATGTCACATTATTCAAAAAAATATGGGGCCTCCCAAGAGGAGAGAGTGGGGGTCCCCTGTTCCTGCCATCCTGGGGGGTGGGGAGGCACAGAGTAGATGCTCACTTAGCACCCAGTGAACGCATGAGGGGTGCCGACACCCATTCGGAGCTCTGCGGAGAAGGAACTCGGTGCGCCCAAGTCCCAGAGTGAAGCAGAGCCCTGTCCTGGTAAAGGAGCGTGGGGCCCCCGTGAGCTCCAGCTCTGACCCAGGACGAGAGGAGCTGGAGGCCGGCCAACGGGGGCAGACGGAAGCCGGGCTTGGGAGGCCTCCCAGCTCCCCTCCCACCCCACCCGCGAGCTTCACAACCCCGGGTCAGCT